TCTGTTTGAGTTTCTTTATTAAAAAATTTGGCCATGCACCGCGACACATGCATCACACACTGCAACACATGGTACAGAGAGGTCTCCTCTTTCCCTTTGCCATATGTGCACCACAGTGAATGTGTTACACGCCACGACATATGGCACAGAGATACTTCCTTCATGTTTTCCCTTTCTTTCGATGCCCAAGTGGCCTGATGTCACTTCAGACATATAATTAGGACTGAAATTACAATCAAATACACTTATTAGATCTCTTTTACCACACACCACATCAAATTACTCAATTACCATAATTAAACTTAATTAATTTCTTAATAATCCAAGGATTAAAATTCATGATGTTATAGTTTTAATGCTTTTCCAATAAACATTAAAAAGTATTAATATGTATTGAAATTGAAATAAAATATAATAACAATACGGTACGGTAAAGTATTTGTATTTCATAGGCAGTAATTGATTTTTTTTCGAAGGTCAATGTTTTTAAAATCGGTTGGACATTAAACCAAAAAAATAAATAGTTCACAATTCACATAGTCCAATTATATTAGATCAATGATTGAATCAGTGATGTAATAATTAAATTAAAAATATTATATATGTATTTAATAATAACTATCTATGTAATTTCCAACTCCAAACAAGGATTATACTTGGTTTCTGTTTCTATTTCTAGTAAATGGATAATATTATGTACATGAACTGACAGGGGTCATCATTCACGTGTGGTTTAACCTCATGATGTTATCATAATTTAAATAATCTTCATCCCCATCCTCACAAATCTTCAGCTACATTCCTTACCCACATAAACATTAAAATGCCTTTTTATTGCTTTTCTTCTCCTTTCTTCACCATTCTCATGCTCTTTCACTTTGTTCTAAGAGCACATTAGATTTATATGCCTTTACTATTTAAAACTTTACAAATGATAAAAACAAAGCTACAAAAGTTGAACACAGAGCTCAAGGCTAAAGCATTAAGGAACTTACTGTAGAGGAGGAGACTTATAGACAAATGAAGCTATAGTAATAAGGAGGCAGAGCATCGAAAGAAGACAGAGACAAAGAAGAAGGGAGGATGAAGTCAAACTTAATGTCAGTGGTCATCATTTGGTGCTTTGAATCTAAACGATGGTGTTGATAAGGGAGGAGGAGAATTGTGCTTGATAGAGGCCAACACGAATAAGAACATGAGGAAAATTGTGATTTGGTTCTTGAGAATCACTATAGAATTGTCATTTTAAGGTTAAAAGGGAGGAAGGGAAACATTTATGAACCACTCAGTTCTTCAAAACCAAACTTGATTCACTACTTAACCTTTAGTTCTCGATCTAAAGGCTAATCTAGGGCAGTCTGAATAAGCCCAACCTCCCAAAAGGTTTTTTACATTTTAACCAAGCCATTAGTCTAACTAATTGATGGTTTAATTGGTCAGATCATTTGGCTTTAAAATTATTGTCTAAGGTATCCTCGTAGCCAGCAGTCATAAGACTAATCTCTTGAGAAATTTGAGTACTATTTAAAGAATTATTCTCTCCCAAGCGATGCTTTCTATACACACCTTCAGGAATTGAAAATAAACAAACCTAATACTTAGCCCTTTATGACACATTTTTCTTACTGGACCTTGCTCAACCTACTTGATTTTACTTGATCGGGCTAGGTTTGTCCATTGTGTATAGGAGACTACTTGTCTAGTCCTCACCTTGTCTCCCATCTTACTTTTTTTTTTCAGAGAATAATATGGCCTTAATTTATAAAAGGTCAATTATATTAAAACAGTACAATGGTTTTACAGATAGACTTGTAAAAGCACAACCATGGCCATAACTCATGACATACACATGATCATGAATGGATCTAGAAACAATTATTTAGGGAGGCCAAAATACAAATTACACGATGGTGGGAGGCAAAAGTTTGTTTTAGCATTTTTTTTATAAATAAAAATAAAGCAATTTTTTTAAAAAAATTTGTAACATGGGGGGCAAGCACCCTCACTTTCCCTTAAAGCTGATAATTCGAGCCAAGTTTGAAGGGCTAGCCCGAATCTGCCCAAAAAAAGTTAAGGTTAGACTTAGAAAAAAGATATTTTTTATGTTCAAACCTATTTGGGCCGGCTTGAATATGCCTGAAAAATTTTGGGCCAAACCCAATCGGGTTCAGGCTTGGCCCGAATACCCGAATAAGAATATTTTATTTTTAAAAAATATATACAGTATAATAAATATTAATTAATCCTTTAAGTTTTAAGTCATTTTATACTAAAATATTACATATTTGAGTCCTACACATCATTTAAGTATTAAAAAAATATTTTATATTTTAAATAAAAAATTTTATTAAAAATAATTTTAAAAATAAATTTTGGGTATTCGAGTAGCTCGAAACTTGAAGAAATTTGGGCTGGACTTAGCTATTCGGCTTTTCAAAGAGTCGGACCTGTTCGGGTTCAGACTTATTTGGGCCGAGCCCGAATAGGCCCGGCCCGCTCGAATTTTCAACTCTACTTTCCCTCTAATCCATCACTGCACATGATACAATATAATAAACTTTTAATTTTAGATAATTTTTTAATTGATGGATTTGAATTTTAAATTTAAAATCCTATATTTAGAATCTCACATTTGAAATATATGTATTTAAAATTTTTTATTTAGATAATTTAAATTATTTCAAATGAAGAAAAAAGATAAATTGAGATTCAAAACAAAAATTAAAAATTAAAAATGATGAGTTTATTTATATTTTGTAATTGACAAAATATGAAAAAAGATATAAAAGTCATTGAGATACTAATAGTGAAAATGGAATGTTTGGAGTGACTATAATTTCAAAAAACTAGGATATAGACAGAATTTGAAATTACAAAAAAATTATAATTTGAAATGAATTTGAATTAAAATTAAATCTAAAATTTATAAATTTTGTGTATCCAAATAAGGGATTTAGTTTAAATTTAAATCTAAATTCATATTAATCCAAATACACCATTAGTGTTTTTTTTTGCTTTTCCACTGAAAATGCAATTATGCAATTTTCAATGTAAAGTTATTCTCACATTACTACCAATGACTTATTAGAACATAAAAGAAGTTCTACATTTAAATATTAGACGATTAATTATAGATATATAAGCTTAGGAAGTATCTAATCAAATGGATTAACTAATCTTTAGATATAAGATTTCTTTTTTATTCTAATATGACTTAGCTAATTACCAAACACATGTCAAAGGCTCCTTACTTACTTCATGGCAGCATCAGTTAAGGTTTTTTTTTTTCCCCCTCCAATGAAAACCCAGCTCTTGTCCAATTCCTAATGGCTTAACAAGCTACGTTATTTGTTGATATTCTTTCATGAGGATGTTATATACCATGAGAAAATTTTGCAATAATCACATTTTGATGGCTTTACTAGGACAGTTTCGAGTGTGATGATTTGGGTTGCACAAATTTCATCAATCGGATGGCCAATTAACAACTAAATTGGGATGGCGAACCACTTTGTTGTCTCAAATGTATATAACTTAACTAAAGTTTGAATTTAATGTAAAAGAATTGCCTACATTTAATATCCCACCATATTTCAAATAAGATTACATTCAATAAGAAAATGCCTGCCAATGATAAAAAAATATAATTCAAACTCTCGACCACATGTTGACAAATGCAACGCAAAAGATAACATTTTGTTAACCTAGTTTTTTTATCATAGCTCTGTTATAGGAGTTTAAGTGGCTTAGGTGACTGTTTTTGCCCTTTTTTTTGTGGGCATGATTCCCTTATCTTGATACTTCATTTGAGCCACAATATAAGTCCCTTTCTAGGAGCTTTACTTAATTTAAAATATAAAATATTAGATAGGAGTTATATATATATATATTAATTACATCTTTACTTTATTTCTTTATTGATGATGGTATTTTGAATAAGTCAAATTTATATTTATTATATTTAAAGTAGAACAGGTAATTCGAGCCAAGCCTAAACCTGTCTAGAAAAGTTAGAGCATGACTTGATTATATGAGCTTTTTTAAGAGGGCATGATACTTTTAGCCCAATCTGAATAAACTTGGTCTGGATTAAGCCTGGCCATTAAAATTTTTTAACTCTATATGTATATAGAGTTAGTAATCTTGGCCAAATTCGACAGACTAGCCTGAACTTGGCCAAAAAAAGTTAGGACTGAGTTTGGTTATATATACCTTTTAAAGAGAGCAGGATACTTCAAGCTCGATCCGAATAAGTTGGCCTAAATTGAGCCAATCCAAATAAGTTCGGTCTACTCGAATTATAGGCTCTAATTCAAAGGCATGATCAAAAAGATGTTGACATTTTTAGAAAATAAAGATTTTAACTAATTTTTTTAAAAATATAAATTAATTAAGAATAATTTATATTGTGATCCAAGGGAATATATGATAACTTGAACAATCAAGACTTGATGAGTGTCATGCCTATTTAGATTTTAATAATTAGGCGCCTATTATTTTGTTGACAGTCAGAAATATAATTTCACATAAAAAAATTATGACAAATAATTTCTTGAGAATTTCAGAGTAATTATTTCATGTCATAGTATTATTTTATCATTTGTCCATTTTAAGGAGATTTATTTGCCATTTTCTCAATTTTAAATTTTAATTACCAACAATTATCACTATTATTAATTATTTAAATTATCAATTATTAATATGTATGATAAATTATAAATAGACTGCAGTAAATTTCGCCCATTTCCGTGGAGAGGAGAGGATGAAGCATGGGAGAATGGAGGGCGATCATACCAGGCCAAGTCATACATTCCATTCGAAATTGTCGAAGTCAAAAATCCTTAAACGACACCCCCTAGCCTTCCCAACAACGTCCACCTGTCCCTTGCTTCCACGTTTAAATCAAAGCCATTACAAAAGCACAATACTTTAGATTATTAAAATTTAAAACTTTAAAAGAATTTGGGGGAAAAAATAGCCTCCCCATTTTTGAGCTTTGTTGTTTTACATGTAGTTTCATTTTTCACTGCCACTCACTCCGACGCCTCAAACCCTAGCGCACTCTTTCCAGTTCTCTCTCTGAAGCCTTCCCAAAATGGCTTCACGCAGACTCGTATCTTCTCTGATTAGGTCTTCCCTTCGTCGATCTTCGACTCAATCTTCCATTACCAGCTCTAGGCCTAGACTTTCTTCTTCGACTGTGTCCGGTCGTCCTTCTCCGTATGGCTACCTCCTCAAGCGGGTCGCTGAGTACGCTACATCTGCTGCAGCCGCTGCTGCCCCGCCTCCTCCGGCCAAGAAGGACGCGGGAAGTGGTGGTGGGAAGATTGTTGATGAGTTCACTGGCAAGGGTGCGATCGGTCAGGTGTGCCAGGTCATTGGTGCCGTCGTCGATGTTAGATTCGAGGAGGGATTGCCTCCGATCTTGACTGCCCTTGAGGTTATGGACCATTCGATTCGATTGGTGTTGGAGGTGGCTCAGCATTTGGGGGAGAACATGGTTAGGACTATTGCTATGGATGGAACTGAAGGCGTTGTTAGAGGACAGCGCGTGCTCAACACTGGATCGCCTATTACCGTGAGTCTCCAATCGCATTGTATTTCTTGATCGCATCCCATTGTTACTGTTTTTCGAGTTTTGAAATTTGACTTGGCTACGAAAGTTTGGGTTTTTTTGGGAGAGTTTGACTTTCTGGTGCTTATCTACATCGAACGATCTCAAGATAGGTCAATTGCACCATAAGCCTGGAGGCTTTTAAAATGTCACACAGATCTGAGTGTACTTTGACTCCTTTGGAAATTGACCACAGTATGTGCGACCATTTTGGTCGCTATAAATTTCTGCTAATGTTATAGTATAGCCTAGTCGGAAAATCATATTGTTCCCTGGTTTTGTTGTGGGTTCAATAGCATGAAGATCGAGATCAAGAATACTGCGCAAATTTGCTACATTCAATGCGTTCAAAAGTAGAATATGTTTAGATCATTATCTTGAGCAAGTCAGATGGATAATTTTTAATGCTGGATAAATTCTTGGATTTCGTTCGCCTCGCCTATCACCTATTTTCTGATACATTTTATGCTTGCTCTTTAGGTTCCTGTGGGTAGGGCTACCCTTGGGCGTATCATTAATGTCATTGGAGAGGCTATTGATGAGAAGGGTGAACTCAGTAAGAAATCGTAAAACAATTTGTCTGTCAGTACGTGATTAGTTGTGCTGTTATTTTGGTGAGGTGTTTTTACTGACTGTATTGTTTTGATTTTCATAGAAACTGAGCACTTCTTGCCAATTCATCGAGAAGCTCCTGCTTTTGTTGAGCAAGCAACTGAACAACAGATCCTTGTTACAGGCATTAAGGTGTTTCTTCTTCTGCTTCTTGGTTTCTTTTTCTGGTGGATCATTGGAGTAAAAATTTGTTTTTACTTCGCACCCATATGTTTTGAGTGTCTGGGAATGCATGTATTACAACTGGTGCCGTTCCTTTTTTTTTTTTATTACTATTGCCCTCAGGTTGTGGACCTGCTCGCACCATACCAAAGAGGTGGAAAGATTGGATTGTTTGGCGGTGCTGGTGTAGGAAAAACTGTGCTCATCATGGAACTTATTAACAATGTTGCAAAGGCTCATGGTATGTGCATAATGCACTTCATTACTTGAAAGCACTTCATTTCTTGAAAGATGATCTGGCTCCTCTCTCTATATTAGTGCTGAGTATTTTGCTTTGCAGGTGGTTTCTCTGTGTTTGCTGGTGTTGGTGAACGAACCCGAGAGGGTAACGACTTGTACAGAGAAATGATTGAGAGTGGTGTCATTAAGCTTGGTGACAAGCAGGTGAACATAATGTTTTGTGATATTCAACATTGTTCCTATATTCCTTCTACAAGTGTGATGCTTATGTCTTTTATTTTACAGAGTGAGAGTAAATGTGCTCTTGTATACGGTCAAATGAATGAGCCCCCTGGTGCTCGTGCCCGTGTTGGTCTGACTGGGCTTACAGTTGCTGAACACTTCCGAGATGCTGAAGGGCAAGATGTGCTTCTTTTCATTGACAACATTTTCCGCTTTACCCAAGTACGGATCCTACCTGAGCTAACTTCTGTCCTGTTCAGTACATGTGATCATTATTAGTCAACTTACATTGTGATTCATCATTTAGGCCAACTCAGAGGTGTCTGCTTTGCTTGGTCGTATCCCTTCTGCTGTCGGTTACCAACCAACCTTGGCTACTGATCTTGGAGGTCTTCAAGAGCGTATTACAACCACCAAGAAGGGTTCAATTACCTCTGTCCAAGCTATTTATGTGCCTGCTGATGACTTGACAGATCCGGCTCCTGCTACCACTTTTGCTCACTTGGATGCTACAACTGTGTTATCACGACAGGTTTGGTTGTGTCTTGTGAAGTATCTGTTGCACTGATGTTTCTGTCTCATGGTCTAATTAACAATTTTGAAATTACTGAACAGATCTCTGAGCTGGGTATCTATCCTGCTGTGACCCCTTAGATTCTACTTCCCGTATGCTTTCACCCCTTATATTGGGTGAGGATCATTACAATACTGCTCGTGGTGTACAAAAAGTGCTTCAGAACTACAAGAATCTTCAAGATATCATTGCCATTTTGGGAATGGATGAGCTTAGTGAAGATGATAAATTGACTGTTGCTCGTGCACGTAAAATCCAACGTTTCTTGAGCCAGCCTTTCCATGTTGCTGAAGTCTTCACTGGTGCCCCTGGTAAATATGTAGACTTGAAGGAGAGCATCAACAGCTTCCAGGTATGATTTTGTCCTATTGAGTAAATACTACTTTTGGCTATTCCATTTCCTTTAGATTTTAACGTATAACTAATCATGAAATGGAAAACTTGATATTTGCGTTTCCATTTAGCCGATCCAAAAAAAAAGTATCTTTTGTTTTCTATGTAGAGATGGTAATTCGGGTAAGTCGGGCTCAATTTGGGCAAGGCTTGAAGTATCCTAACTCTTTTAAAAAACTCATAGTCAAGCCTGGCCCTAACACTTGGCTTGGCTTAAATGCCTCAAACTTTTTTAAAATATTTTTTTTAATTTTTAAACCAATTTTAATTTTTAAATAATTCTATTAAGTATAAAATATTATTTTAACTTTAAACGAATAAAATAAAAAATAACCTATCAACTTTGTACTTAAGAAGCTGTGTTATTGTTTTGTTGTATTATATGTAATTTATTCATGAATGTTTCCTTTACTTATAAAGTAATATTTTAATTGTTTAAACATTGCTCTTATCATAGTCATATATAAATGTTTTATATGTTTTAATTAAATTGTATTATTTTTATTTTGATTAAGTTAATCTCAATTCAATCATGGTTATACTACTAACTTAAAATTATCCTGGTTGGTTTAAAGTTTTTAATAATTTTTGGGTAAATTGTACTTTTCATTTTTATGAATATAAGAAAAATAGCCATCGTTATATTATATAAAGCAAAATTGTTTAATTATGAGTAAAATGTTATTTTTTTTTGGAATCGGTTTTCTTTAACTTTTTATATTGTTTAACCTTTACATACAATGATTTTTATTGTAGTTTATTCTTAATTTTTAACCAAGTCTAATATGAACAATAACAAAGTAATTTTTCAAGAATATTGTACTATTTATTATCTTTATCTAGTGGTAGAGTCGGCGTACATGTCCAAATTTTATTTTAAAATTATTTTTAATTTAAAATTAATTGTCTTATTTTATAAAAAATATAAAATTAATTTTTTCATATGCAAATGACGTATAGGATTCAATTTTTTTAAAAGATAAAAATCAATATTAAAATATATTTTAAATATTATTTTGAGATATTTTATTGATTAAAAATAATAAAAATATGAAAATATAACTATTTTGGTATAAAAAATAAAAAATAACTATAGTAATACACTCATATATAATGTTTTGGTATAAAATGATATAAAACTTAAAAAATTAATTAATATTTATCATATTTTATATATTTTTTAAAAATTTAATTTTTATTTGAGTATTCAGACCCAAATGGGCCCGAACATTAAAAGATTAATATTTTTTTGGGCTTGGCACTCAATTTTTCGAGTGGGTTCGGGCTGATTCGTCGAGTTGGGTCCAAATTATCGGCTCTACTTCTATGTGGTGGTATCTGCTCCCTTGCCCTTAGAAAATACATCGGGCTTGTGATGCTCTTAAAGGACTTTTAACCTTAAATTTAATTACGATTTGTTTGAGGTACTTGACTGACTTGCATGATTTAATGCACTTGGCTATCTAGAACTTTGATCCAAGCATTCCAGTTGCTATTCATGGCTATGAATCAGTAATTTTAACTTGTATTGGGATTTCTTTTTGCCTTTTAAAGACCGAAAAGGACCATTGTGAAAGTAAACTCCCTTTCAAAAGCAGAGTAAAAAGAATATGTTAATTCTTACAAGGCAGTCTCTCAATGTTTGTGTCCTGTTTGTTTCAGTCATTTTGGATGGTGGCATTTGTCTTTTGCTAGTTAACCAATATATATACCCTTCACATTGGTTTTCCTTCTGAACTCTGACACAAAATGTTTATTTTGTTGTTTTTTTACTTGCCAGGGTGTGTTGGATGGCAAATACGATGACCTTCCTGAGCAATCATTCTACATGGTTGGAGGTATCGACGAGGTTGTTGCAAAGGCAGATAAGATTGCTAAGGAATCTACATCATAGGTTCATAACCACACAGCGTTCCTACTATGTTGATCCGTTTTTTGATAGTTGCATAAATCAATAATTTAGGAACTCTGGGCAATGCCGAATGAAAGAATCTTTCAATTTTTTTCTCTTGGTACCAAATGTGTCAGGATTTTCCATTCCCATTTCAAATCTTTGTTGCCAATTGTGAAAGTGAAACGGAGCCTGTGGCCCCATGCACCCCCTTTTCTATTTGTGCCAATAAGGGGAAAAAGGCAAGAGAACATGTACATTTCTGCTGTTCTGGTTCAGAAACTTGGTTGCATTAATGTTGAAAACTTTAGCTGAGTTTTTTCCCATGTTTGAGGAGTAAACCTAAATCTTCTTGAGTGCCTTTCTTTTCTTTTCTGCTTCTTTTAGCTATTTATAGGTGTCATATTAATGGATTTTGGTGGGATAAGCAGCACTGAAAAATCGTTAGTCATGGATTTGGGCGCGCTTCACGAAGGATTTCTTCATGAAATGCTAACAAACCATTCAGTTTTCAGGCTGCTCCACTGTATTTTTCCGGACATTTCATCAACTTCGTTGACAGGTTTTCTGGTCTATTTTTAAATTTAAATTGAATTTCAATTCAATCGACAAATTTTATATATATATATATATATATTTTAAATTTTGTGGTGTTCCAACGTTTTTGCAGTTTTTGTAACTTCATGTAACTTTTTTTGGGTGAATGTCATGAAATAATTTTTTTTTAATCTGCAAGTTACGTATGCAAATTGTGTTGGAATGACTCAATTTTTTTGAATCAAACTGAAATGGTTTCATAACTACAAATGCGGCCAAGTCAAGACTAACACGGCTGAATCGTTCATCATTCACCCCCTCAGACAACCAAGGTGTGGGATGTGACTCAATTCAAAAACTGTTTTATAACCAAATCAAAATTGTATGAACTAGCTACTATTTGATTACAATGATGCTTGTATTTTATTTTTTTTGGGATACGAAGTCAAATTATATTTGTAATAAAAGGATTGTAAGAAAAGTCCAAGACTACCTAACATAGAAGATGGATGGGTCTGGATCACATACGCTAACAGACATAACTAAAAAAACAAACGAGCAAACAAAGCCGAAGAGCTTAACATGAAGAGGCCAAATGTTTGGGCACTGGAAGTTACTGCACGAACATTAGAAAACAGAGCAGTCAACATTGAATACCCAGTTCTTCTTGCGTACGCAAATGTGAGATAGTTCTAACCAATTAGACAGCAAGAGATGAACTTACTCATGTCCATGTTACTACCTTTTAGCTATTTTATCAGAATTAAGAAATGACAGTTAACTTGTTATATACTTCCTCCGTTAAAGGCATTTTTTGATAAATTGAATATTTAAAAATATAAGGTAATTTTAATTTTTTGAGGTGTAATCATTGCTTTTTTTAAAAAATATTTCTATTGATAGTGATTTTAAATTTATTATAAGGTGCTTAATAGAAGTAATTATAAGAAGATAGGGTTAGTTTAAAAGTAGATAACTACTTTATTGAAGGGTGAGATTCGATTAAAAATGTCTTATATTTTTAAATGGAGGGAGTACATCTTAAAATGAGAAAAGAAAATTCAACTTTATCCCATTAAAATTTTTAAAAAAAAGAGACAATATATGATGAGCCATAAAATTAAATTTGCAATAGGGATAAAATTGTAAAATGATAACAAATAATTGTTGACGTGTTTTATATTAAGGACTAGAAAATTTTTCAGAAGGTATCATGTAATAGAAACTGTCATGCAACAGAGACAAGGGAGAGAAATACCACAGCATAATTGAGAGCAAGACTATAATGCGAAATCGCCAAAGCAAATAGACTTGGTTTTTCTCCCATACGGTTACTTTTCATTGTGCTTCTATTGTAAATTTGAATTGTTTATATTAAATTTTAATAACATAGATTAATCTATATTTTTTAAAATTATCAAATCTAAACCATCAAATTCAATGTAACCACCCAGACTAACCGTAAGAAGCAACTTCCAAGGAAATAAAAGGACTTGAAAAGTACCTTGAGTGCTTGAAAGTTGACCAGTTTAATCAAAGATTTTAAGCTCAGGGCGTACAATAGTAATTAAATTTTCAATAAGGACTTAAAAAGTATACCCTTCAAAGAAGCGTTGATCACAGGCGGCAGATCGGATTAATCTCTATTAAAGACTTGGAATACTGATACGGGAATGAACGAGAAAAAACTTGACAGTCACTTTATAATGAATTTAATTTAATTCACTTTTCTTAATTGAAAGTCAATCGACCCAACCCAAAATGATTGGGGCTTGGCCATTCATGAGCCACCAGATAACCTCGATGACACGTGGAAGTCTATTCAGCCTCTCCAGCTATTACGTACCGGAGGTGCATTTTATTACAAACCGCCTAAAAGTCCCCGTTCCTCCGTCCACTTTAGTCGGCGGCCATCCCTCCCCTGACCAGATTCCTACATTCATATAAGCTTCATACAAAGGGACCTGCCATGTCACTCTCTCTCTTACCCCCTCTTCCTTCTTCCTCTTCCATCCATCCCCATGCGCACTTTAGCCCATCTCTTCTTCCCATGTCTATTCTACGCTGCCTGGCCCTTCCCTTTCCCCGCCGCCTAAGCCTCCGACGCCATCGCTTCGCTTCCATCGCTGCTGCCGCCGTACGGCAGGATACCACCGTCTGGACCCCTGCCCCGCTCTCCGAGGTTGAACCCGCCGCCGAGTCACTCTTTCACGTCACTGTCGATTTGTCCGACTCGCCCGACCTGGCAACCTCTCACACTCGGGCTGGGCAGTACCTCCAGTTGCGAATTCCTGACGTATCCAAGCCTTCCTTCCTGGCTATCGCATCGCCTCCAAAGCTCGCTTCGGCGCGTGGCGTGTTCGAGTTCCTTGTGAAGAGCGTCCCGGGTTCTACCGCTGAGATTCTATGCGAGTTGAAGAAAGGGACTGTGGTGGAGCTGAGCCAGGTTATGGGGAATGGGTTCGATACGAGTCGGATAGATCCGCCTGAGAAGTATGCCACGGTTTTTATTTTTGCGACTGGATCCGGAATTAGGTGAGCGAGTCTTTACGGAAGTTGCATTTCTATTTTCGAAATGCGAATGCCCAAGATGATTTTCTTTCTCAAATTAGAAGCACGTATATAATAACAAATAGGACGCTGTAGTTGTAGGGTTTATATTTAAATAAATTTGATTGAAATTGATGATGGATTTGAAAGCTTGATTACAAGCTGTGATATCCATCATTGTAGGTGGCCTCTACCCTGTATTTCGGCTGAAACTTTATATCTTTTACTCAAAGACCCTTTGAGGCTCTCCTAGTTGGTTTGAAAATTTAGTTAAGGTATTCAGAACGTGACAATATGAGCTAAGTAAGCAATGCTCTGCGGGGCGTCTTCGTGAGCTCATCCTCTTTGCCACTGGGCACTCAGGAATCTTCTTCAAAGTTATTTGAAGTGGGAAATATTTTTACTTATATTACTTCAATATGGGAGCTTCTAATTTTCACTAAAGAATCCTTGCCGTTTTGCTGAGAATGTGATGTGGGGTTGGAAGGGTAATATGATGTTCCATGTACACTATTGAATGTGTTGCTATAGATTTTACTGGTGGCTTTATATGCTCCCGTGATCGTCAATGCACTCTATACTTTGATGGTACTGTGCATCTGTTTGACTAACTAACATCTAATCCAAGGCTCATCCTGGCATCAAACCATCTACTTTTCCTTCCACATCCTTAAAAGGTTCATCATGCTAAAGTTTTTCTTGCTGGCAATGTTGTTTCCCTCTTGAGACATCTATCTTGTGGCACCAGGTTATGGTGTGCGATGTTTGTTTACTCTCAAATAGAGGGATATCTTAAACTGCTACTTACATTAAAGCATTCAATGCCATCTCTTGGAGTCTTGGTCATATTTCTCTTAAATTTTATGGTTGGCAATGGCCATCAGGCTAGATGCTTGTATTATATTTGGGTATGGGATGTTCCTTTTCTTGAGGCTTTCTCCTGTTCTTTCTTTCTCCGTGTATCAATAACCTCATTCCTTATTTGTAGAATATTCAAGGTTCAGTCACTCCTGGGAACTTCCAGTAATTCAGGAACCTGAACAACTGAGAAATGTCTGAAATAATTTTTTTGTTATTACCTGAGTCTTTTTATTTGTACTAGAGGATTGTGACTTTTGATTCTTCTGATTTTCATTCTTGTAATTTGATGGAGACTTGATAGTATGGGATACCAAGTCTCACATTAAGTAGTATACCCCAAAAGGTAAGTGGGATGGAGAACCTTATTCCAAAAGCTAGCTATTGAGGTGGAAGAACCAACCCATTTATATACTCCATTGAGCATCCCATACTACTCAACGTGGGACTTGGTATCCCATATTAACAAGTCTCCATCAGTATCCCATACTACTAAGTCTCCATTAATTGGCCCCTTGCGGAAAGCCGACGTCTCGATGGCTGCACTCCATAGCACTTAACTTGGTTTCCTTCCTGTCAGAACCCTTTGCGGGTAGCTCTTTCCGGAACTGCTGACAACAAGGCTCTGATACCAATTGATGGGTACCTAAGTGAGATGGGGAACCTTACCCAAAAGCTAGCTGTTGAAGTGGGAGAACCAACCCACTTATATACCTCATTGAGCATCCCATACTACTCAGTTTGGGACTTGATATCCCATACTGCTAAGTTTCCATCAGATGCCAAGTCTCATATTAAGTAGTATGGGATGCTCAATGAGGTATATAAGTGGATTGATTCTCTCACTTCAACAGCTAGCTTTTAGGGTAGGGTTTTCCATCCCAACTTATATACCCCATTCAGCATCCTATATTACTCAATGTGGGACTTGGTACCTCATACTACCAAGTGTCCATCATAATTCCTTCTTTCACTTACCCATTTCACCCTTGGAAAAGATCCTTTATCCAAAGTTAGGATGGATTATTCATCTGTGGTTGACGGTGGTCAGTAAAACAAGACTAAAGATGTGTTAGTAATTTGTAGGCTTGACAATGCATTGTCTTATGTTATATATGGAATGTATTGCTATAATATCGAAACTACTGCACTATTATTTCTGCATTGAGTGGCAGTTAGTTGTGTTATAGTAGGCTCTTTGGTCTAACCCTGGAAATGATTCTTATATAGATTAAGTTCTGATGTTATGGTGAATGAAAGGAGGAAAGTGTTTCTGCGGTGTGCTATGCTTGCTACCCCTTGGTGCCTTTGATGGTATGGATGCATGCATTTTTGAGGGGAAATATTTGATCCTAGCCGTACTTTGTCATAGATCTTTTTTCAGTCCTGACTTTGGTGTTCAGTGCATGTTCCCCCTCTTCTTTCTTTCTTACTTTCAAGGGATTTTGACAGCTTTCATGTTTTTATGCCCTTCCCTAGTTTCTCTGTTGCTTTGGTCTTTGGAAAACTTTTCTTCATTTCACTATATTTTTTTTTTTTCCTTTTAATGAAATTTCTTCTATATCTCAGATGACGTAGTATTTCTGTTGTTTTGAAACTTTATTCTGCCTATAAATCTATTGCACATGGAATGCATGGCATTTGTTCATCTATTAGCTATATATTACCATCAATCCTGAGCCTTTTTTTTTTTTTTAACTTTCTTTAGTAGTCATTCAACTTGGCTCATGTGGCTTCTCTTTATGTACAGTCCAATTCGATCACTTATTGAGTCTGGATTTAGCGTTGCTAAGAGATCCGATGTGAGGCTCTTTTATGGAGCTAGAAACCTTCAAAGAATGGCTTATCAGGTTTGTTCCATTGATTCTTGGGCATTGGGTTTGAAGGGAAAAAAAATAAAACTTTTCTTTTTTCAATGTGAGGTTATACTAATAAATATATATTTTATCTTTATAGGATAGATTCAAAGAGTGGGAATCTTCTGGTGTTAAGATTGTGCCTGTCTTGTCACAGCCAGATAGTACTTGGACTGGGGAAAGTGGCTATGTGCAGGTAATGTTGTGGTCTTGCTTGTAAGCTTAGCAGTCTAGTTAAAGCTGTAACTCTCAAGAATTAGTTTATATTTCTCCCATAATTGCCTTTACAGGCTGCTTTTGCAAGAACCAAGGAAATTACTGATCCTTCGTCAATTGGTGCTGTACTTTGTGGGCAGAAACAGATGACTGAGGTTTGCTGCTATTGCTTTAAGCTTCCTCTTTTTTAACTCTCTCTCCCAATATGGAGTGTGAAAAGGATGCCACGTTTTTTTTTTTTTTAAATTACCTTGCACACAACATTTTACTACTGTCATGAGCATAACCTTGAGGTCATAAAGCCAATAGGACTATCTTATCGAATTTACCCAACATCTTTGAATATCCATATGAGGAGACCCCGTGAAAACAATCACTAGTTCGAGGTCATAAAGAGAAGTACATGTTCCCATGCAGTAAGTGTCATGGGTGTAAGCTTGTCCTTGAAAAACCTAGCTGTTGCTTCCAACCAAAAGGCTTCTCAGTGATTCCATCACATACTGCTTCACATCTTCCCCTAGGCATCATCATCTTATTTGCTAGAATTTTTGGTTTTAATGTGACTGCTGCGTATGTGACTTTCTTGTGCACTGTATTCACTGTTAACCAAGTTGGTTATGATGCCCATAGTTTTGTCATTTATCTTAACGTGTTGAACATATAACCTTTTCATATAATCTAATCCAGATGAACCCTACCATCTGGTATTGAAGAAAGGTATGCAATTTTGATAGGGTACAGGGTAAACTAGTCGAAGGCTTTTGAACAGTTTTTAGATATATACTCGTTCTGATACCAAGACTGTTATATATGTTATGTCTCTGCATTGCGGAATCTGTTGCCCAAAAAAAATCTGCCTATGTCACCTTTCACAAGCTCTGTATGTTGATGCTGTCAGGAATAGGATCCCATTGAGTCTCGAATGAGGTAATCTTTTGGGAGAGAATCTCCTCCTGGCGTGGTCTTGCTAGCCTTGAATTCCATAGTGTATCCAAGTTTTGGCGAAAGTTACATGATAATCTTACCTATGCTGCCCCGGTTTAAAATCTGCTGCAAAAGTTATCTCACGTTGTATCTTTCTGGATATTGAGATCTCTTGAAGTTCAGTTCAGTAATTTTTTTTTTTTGGGACAATGGCTCAGCAATTTAGAGATTTTAACTTTAGTCATCCCTGTTTTAAATTACCTTCTTTATCTTGGAGTATCAAAATATTATCATGTAACTTTCATAATCCCAAAAAATTCCCAAGTTCTTGCCTAGTCAGGCTTTGCTATCGTTTGCAAAAAAATTAACGGCTAGTGCATGTTGTATGCGCAATGCCTTCGCTTACATACATGACCTCTCATAATCACTTTGTTGTTGCAGGAAGTTACATCGATTCTTGTTGCTGATGGAGTCTCAAGTGAGAAGATATTGAAGAACTTCTGACAACTCGGTTGAAGTTTTTGCTTTTGTTGTATCATTGTCGTGTTATAGTCGATAATTATTTGTCCATTGCCACTGCTGAGGATCGTTGGCATGGAATGTACAATAAAATTAATTTTGGGAAACAAAGTTCCCATTATTAGAATTTGACGGCTTTCAGGTTTCAGCAACCAAATAGGGGATACAAATTTTCTTGGTTTCACGTGGAAATATCGATCTTGCTTCTATCATCCAAAGACAGTCATTTCTTTATTCAAGAAATGCATTTATGACTGGTTAGGACGTTAGAATGCTCTCATGATAGAATCGAAACACATGTTCACTGCCCGTTTATGGACAAACAAATGCCCTTAGATCTGTACGGACCTTAAACGGCTACGAGATCTCCTGGCCTAGAAAATAAAAAGAACCCGCCTTTGATGTGCATTGTGGCTTGGCGCATACATTTGGTCGTTCAAGCACATATGGTTTTGAATGTCGAATTTGTTTTCTGAAAGAAACTAATTGCTCATTAGGGATAGGATTTTTTCATATGGTTGAGACAGCAAAAGAATTAGTGTGTGCAACCTAGTTTTGTTTTCCCCAATGAAACAATGTGTCACTAAAGTAACTGTTTACTCAGGATGGATTTGGAGCGTCCTAGTAAACACTAATATACATAACCTAATATTTTTTAGATTTTTATGGACTAAATAATGAACATGATGTTCAAACAGAGAATCTGAATTAATTTTAGAATGTTAATAGTGTACTCTTTGAACAATTTCATCGTGTATAATGCATATGTATAACTGATATTTGGCAATAATGATTCTGTTTGATTTGTCACTTTTTGATTATTCTTTATATATGTGTGTGTTTATATACATATATATGTAGCGAAAGAAATGTTTGCTTTTCTTTGCAAGTTTGCATCATCAATTTTCCCCCACTGCTCCGTTGTTTATTAAAGTACGAACAAAAACCTGAGATAAGAATACCTAAAAGCTATTCAGGCTCCAAAACGAAACAGCAAAACCAAGCAAAATCAACTTGAGTTTCCAAGAAATGAGTTTCGACCACAATAATCTATTGTAATTGCAACAGCAAACACAGTCAACAGAACAATCCAATTAGAAGCCAGAAAATCTAGATTCAAATTGTCAATAATGCAGATGACAACAAAGAATAATTAAAATTAAACTTGTTCAGCAAAGATTCATTGACGGTCACTTGGAATGTTAATGAAGGCAACAAATCGTTAAACAGAACTCAGAAATCACGTGGATAATTGTTCTCGTTGTTCTCATCCACAGCTCAATCCGCATGATCTCCATCAGATTTCAAAATCACATATTTGCTTAATTCGTCATGCTTTCTATTCATATCTGGCGAGTGATGGTGAGGAGACTGATTTTGATTTTTCTCCCCATTCAAGTGGCGTCGATGCTTGTGGTGGTGGCGGTGGTGCCTCTTAGCGACTGATCTCCTATTATCTTCATTGTTCTCATCTGATGACTTCCCTATAGATTGGCTTCGCTGCCCATGTCCATCATCATCAGAATCTGATGACCTCATATCCAAACTATGAGATCGTCTGTGATGTTTATGGCGCCTTCTGCGGCTTTTCTTGTGATAAGCACCGTCACTTTCATCATTTGACAAGTCTGATTCACTAGATTCAGATCTTCGGTGCCGTTTATGATGCTTTCCATGACTCTTTCTAGAAGCGTGAGACTCTTCATCACTAGAGAAGTCTGATCCACTAGAATGTGAGACAGCTCGGCGTTTGTATTCTCTTGAATGCCTTTTCCTCTTGCTTACCTCATCAGCACCGGTATCTGAATCACTGGAATCTGATCTTGAACCTTGATCCCTGTGCTTCTTGTTTTGCTTCTTCTTCCTTCTCCTCTCTTCCTCAGAGATACTATCATATTCATCACTGCTAGCATCACTAGATTCTGAGGACCGTTTCTTTGCCTTTCTCTTAAATTTCTTCTCTTTCCTTCTATCATGGTCACCCAAGTCAGAGTGAGAATGCTTCCTATGCTTCCTGTGAGCTCTTCTACTGGACTTCTTATACTCATTGTCACTGTCATAATCCGAGTCACTATCAGAGCCAGATCGTTTTTTATGTTTTGCAGCCTTCAACTTCCTCTCTTTAGCTTCAGCGTCAGCTTTAGCCTTAGCAGCAGCTTCCAGCTTCTGCTCCCACTTCAAAGGAGCCTCCTTTCTATCCATAATTCTCTTCTTCTTCTCCTCCACAAGCTGGAGGAATCTCTTGGTGTCCATTTGTATTCAATAACCAACTCAAAAACTGCATTTTGGTAAAATGATGACCAGAAGGACATCTCACAGAAGAGAAAAAACAAAGTTAGTTTGGCAATCAAGTCATAAAATTGAATGAGTCCAAGAAAGGCAAGCAAATTTAGAATATTAAATTATTTATTTTCTTCATTATATATGGAAAGAATGAGCTTCGCATTAAAAAATCTAAGTTGCCACTGATATGATGCAGAGTAACGTAGAATAATACACTGAACAGTCAAGTGACACTTTCAAACATTGATTTTGTCACAAACACAGTCTCCACTTTTGTCAATTCAGTGTTGATTCTGGGCACACAAGTTTAGGTAATCCAAAAAAGCAAAGTACGTAATCACACATTGATGGCCACAAGACAAGCAACACCAACGATTAAACTTTAATTGGCTAATATACGGTTCACTAAGATGACATGGTAACCTATCCTTCCAACTGACAACATAGTTTCCCACAGACAAACAAAAGTTTATACCTGCTTGCTTATACATTCATAATCCTCTCCCACTAAATGATTAACATACATCATACAAATATTAGATGAAAATGTACCTAGCATCAGTAGCCTAACTAAAAATGGCCTCATTCTGTATTCTGCTCACTACACCAGAAAAGGGAAAAAAGGAAAAAGAATTCCACTTTTAAATTTTTAGACAAAATCTTCAGGTAAAAAATGATCAAACGCACATATCATGAATACTTTAATGTTTTGCCTAAAATTATACCAAACCTGAGAAAGAGACAGGTCTCCATAAAGAGACAGTTTGGGATCAGGTTCCCACCATTTAAGTAAGAGAAACATAAGACAGGGTCACTAATTCTAGATAACATTTCTTACTCTTAATCTTCTATTGAAAATTCAACCTTATATAGCTACGCAAATAAAAACCTTTAAAGTCAACTTACAACAGGAAATTAACCTTCTATTCCTACCTTATATGTCTGAGAGGATAAATCTGTAGCAGCACCCTACCCCAAACCAAGGGATATGGTATCAGAAGAAACCTGCATCAAAATCGTATATTGTATGATGTTATAATACATATTTAAGAGAACGCAGAAAAAAGGAAAAAAATTACTAAAACTGCCAATAAAATTTCTAACATACCACACAAAATATGGAAAGCACACACGCGAAACATGAACAAAGCACATCAAAAGACATAATGAAACAGACCAAAAGAGAGGGTAAAAACTGTTCCATCAAAAATTAAAGGACAGCTAATCAATTAATGGGAAATGAACAGATCTTTACATCAAATACGAAACAAAACTAACGCATCAAAGGAAACCCTAATTGTCAAATAAAAAGTGGACCTAAGATCGGCGAAAAAGAAATCAAACTGAACAAGGAAGAAAGGCGTACCAGAACGAAGAAGCAGAGAAGAGATTACGGGCCTCCTTCTCCAAGAGTGGGCCGAAAGGGCTTGACTTTGGGAACCCGGCGCCTCCACCTCTCCAGAAACGTCTCAAGCAGAAGAAGCAGCGATTTGCTGTGGCTTGGCGTGCCCTTATAGCATAGATAGGCCGACGACGCGTAAAAATTAAAAAAGCTAAAATCCCGGGTTCCTTGAACCGGACCGGTCACCAGCGAATCCGATAACCGGTCCGTGTATAAACCCGGTTGGTCAGTGGACTGGGCATTGCTTGTGGGCACAAACTATAATTAAAAAGGGCACAGGGGTCAATTGACAATTTTTTTAACACGAATCTTGATTCTTGTCATGTCAGACTGCCAGAGATTTGCTGGCCTTAGAAAATGATTGGCTAGGAAGCAAATTTAAACTCAAACATGAGAAGCACTCTATAGCGTAATTTATTTCCAGGTTTGTATAAATGAGTATGTGTGATCCATCTGATTATATTATAGGTTTTTTTTTTTGAAGAGTTACTAAATTCTAATAAAATATGTGGATAAATAACATAATTTTTTAATTTTTTTATAAATGTATGAGATCCATCGAATTTTATTATTTTTATATGAAAGGATTGACATTTTCTTATAATATATTAATGAATTAACGGTTCGTATTTGGCCAAAAAAAATGAATATATTGACTAATTGTAAATTAAGTTGGTTTTTGAACAATGAGTTGTTTAGGGGAAAAAGGGATTGCATTGTTTATTTTTATAGTAGAGATTACTATCATAAAAATAACAATAGATGGCAAAACATTTCTCAAAATATGCAAGTGATAATTAAGTAGCACAAAATATGATAATTATTTTTTAGAGGCTAGTAATTTGCCTGACATTTTTATTTTATTTTTTGAAATGACATTTTGCCCTTTAAAGAAGATCCTTTATCTTAGTAAATTAATGACTATTTTGTTTTGATAAATAACTACTTTTCTTATAAAAATAAAAAACACGTATAATGAAATAGCAAATTACAAGTTGGTATGTGCAAATTTTTTTGTCAATGAAAAACTTGTAATATGCTAATGCATCATAGTCATTTCATCAAAAAAAGTCATCATTTCTCTAAAGAAAGTAGCAATAGAGTTTTAATTGTTGGTTTCATTAATAAAAAATTTTAATTATAAAAATAAAAATATTGTTTTAACACAAACAAAAATTCTAAAGTTAGACAACAATGCATTTTCCAACTTTTAGAATTTAATGTAGAATTATTTTGAAAAAAATACCTAATATCATATTATTATTAAGAAATTAAATCTACCTATTTTTTCAATGCTTACAAATCAACTCAAACCAACTTAACCACTAAATCGCAAAAATCAGTGAAGAAATGCCAATTAATTATTGGTATTAAGGAATATTTCATCAAAATCATTAGATATAAGATGTCAAGAAAAATAACGATCAAAGGAAAATGATGTTTACAAAATAAATGATGTGTGTTTTATATTTTACAATATATGACAAATATATGCAGAACCTTCATATAACGCTTTAGATTATGATA